TTTGATAGTATGTATGTTCTGATTCCCTTAATGGTGTCATGTGAACGTCGACTACATGACACTTCACCATATTTGGGTCTAAGGGAGTGCATTGTGGAGTAGCAATTCGATGATGGGTTGCGAGAGTGACAGAAGCTTAAACCCCGGGTTATGCGCTATTCCGTAAGGGACCGATTGGATCCAAAAGTTTAATGCTATGGTTAGAATTTATTCTTAATACTTTTCTCATAGTTGCGGATGCTTGCGGGAGGGTTAATCATAAGTAGGAGGTTTGTTCAAGTAAGAACATCACCTAAGCACCGGTCCACCCACACATCAAATTATCAAAGTACCGAACACGAATTAAACCAACATGATGAAAGTGACTAGATGAAATTCCCGTGTACCCTCAAGAACGCTTTGCTTATCATAAGTGACCGTTTTGGCATTTCCTTTGCCTCAAAAGGATTGGGCTACCTTGCTACACTTTTGTTACTATTATCGTTACTTGCTCGTTACAAATTATCTTGCTACCAAACTACTCTGCTACTTACAATTTCAGCACTTTCAGACATTACCTTACTGGAAACTACTTGTCATTTCCTTCTGCTCCTTGTTGGGTTCGACACTCTTACTTATCGAAAAGAGCTACAATTGATCCCCTATACTTGTGGGTCATCATTGAGCTCGCAGGTCTCATGGGAGAAACACTCACATTTCTCAATGTTCGAGTCAGTACCGCATGAAGTACTTACAACTATGTATGTGTCTCAACCTTTGAGCAATATGGCATGCAAGGCGAATGGTAATTTACGAAGAGATATACGAAGCTCCGTTATCCACTTTTCACTTTGTTCGAAGTATCCTGGATGAACTTCGGCTATCTACAAAGGAGGTGAAGGTTACTCCACACACTCAGACTACTCTAGTGCACTAGAGCTGCCAACCGCCACCAGTGGGACATGCGATGATTTGGATACCATGGTGGGGAAGATCCAGCATGTGGGAAGTGTTGCAGCGATGGCGCGAGATGAACATATCAACTAGTTGGGATCTTTTGCAGTGGTTGCCTTCGACACCGATGACTCAAAGGTCCTTGAGATTACGCTGCAGTGGATGTGAATGGCTAAGGACTATCTCATAGTTATATCCAATCTGAAAGGTGTTTGCTTCGCCTAGCTCTGGTGGCTCAGGAGAAACCTAACCACCCGCCGCCGGCACTTTCCCCATCGACTTCTCTCACCACTGTTGCCCCTGGCCCTTGTGGAGGTGGCGACATCCCCACTCCCAAAAGGTGGGTGGGGATCTCCAGTGGTCCTAGGGCGGCAGAGCGCGTGTGTAGGGGCGCAGCTTGGTGTAGTGCGACGCCCGGGCAACGGCCTCGATCCGGGATCTTGACATGACCTGGGCATGGACTGCATGCGTAGTGGTGTGCTCTTGTGGTTGCGCACGTTTTTCGTGATGGCGCTCGACGCTGGATGCGCATGGGGGGTCGTCAGCTGGGTGCAAAGGTTGCTTGTGCAGGTTGGCAACAAGGACTAGCAAGGCGTGGCGGGTGTCTTCTCCGGAGCGCGGGGTGTGCTGTGGGTTAGCCTACTCATCCTCTTCTCTAGTTCTTCACTTGAGCAACTTTCATCGGGATCGGGTTGGGTCTCCGATCTTGATGCTATCTCTCACGATGCGTCATTGGTTGTTGCGATGGTGGGCGGTGGCTATGGCCGAGGGGTGGTGCGTGTCTGGGTGCGGTGTATCGAGGGATCCCGCGGCCAGAGTGAGGTTGCTCTCGGCAAGGGTGGTGGTTTGTGGGCGGTGGTCAATGGTGGTGGGTGGTTGGCGCATCTTTTGGAGAAATACTTATTCTAGTCTTCACTGGGTCCAGCGATCGCGGCGCCTGCAGGTGCCATGACTTTTCTTGGAAGCGTCGTCATGGAGGTGTGCTCCTCCTTCTCCCCATGGCTTTGGCTCCGAAGGGAAACCTCAAATCTGCTGGATCGGGCGATGGAGGAATCTTCGCCTCTGTCTCCTCCTTGGTGGCATCGTCTCGTAGCCGGCCACGACTAGGAGACCGGTGGATGGCGGCATCTTCGCCGCTTCGTTTGCTAAGGCGGGTGTTGGTTTCTGTTTGGCAATGACGATGGCGTCGAGAGGAGCTTGGGTCGCGGCGCAGACTTCAATAGTCAGTTTGGTCATCCTGACGTGTCCGAGGTGCTCTTCTGTGGGTTGCTTGGTTGCTTTGAAGTTGGAGCTGCGGTGGAGTGAGTCCAGGTGGTGACAATGACAGACACTCGGTGGTCCTTTGCAGAGGGCACGGTCGGCACAAGTCCCGCATATTTCCCTTGTGAAGCTCGTCTTCAAAGTCAGAGTTGTCGGTTGCTCGCACTTGTGACCTTCCGTTAGCATGTGCCGTCTATGTAGTTGTTTGCGGGTTGGCTTCGTTGTTGGAGCTCTATGGTGAAGTCGAAGTCGCCCATTCAAAGTCAACCGGCGATGATGATGTGGCTTGCGACTTCTCAGCCGATGCATTTCTTCTTTGCAGCTCTGTGTTCCATCTCGATGGCCAGGTTGGCCAGTGATGCCCATGTCATGTGGAACGCGTTGTATCGGTTTTAGCCTGATTTTCCACCGATTAACCAGGCAATTCTTACTCTCTTCTGTCAAACCCAGCCATCGTTCACCAAACCCAGCCAAACATAGCAGCTTTTGTAACTTTGTACGGATGTCATTGCTGCAACGTATGAAATGTGAGATTGAAAGAAATGTAGTAACTCTTTCTATACTGGTTTACAAAATCTAAATTGCATGAATGACTTGATAGACATAAGAAAATCGCGACCAACACGTACAATGTGCTCTATCTACATAATATAAGCTAACTAATTTTTTCGACAAAGGGTAATATATGCTCATATTAATATCATGATTATATTAATTACACCCCGGCCTCTGCAATGATTGTTTTTTTTCCTTTTTGCCGGAACTGCAACTACAGTTTGTCAAGAGGTAGTCAAGATATTAGAAATGCACACAACCAAAAGGAAACAGAAATAAAGGTAGCCAACGCAACCAGCGACATGCAACAAGCAACAACACCATCCATCGCCCTTAACAACACACGAATCACACTCGTCAATCTGATACGCTAGAGATAGACTAATTTGCACAAGCTGGACACCAACGGTGGTTGGTCTGCCAGATTCAATTGCGTCTGCGCTCTCCAGTAGAGTACATGCACGGGTCACAAGCTTTCAAATACAGTAACGCGTGTGCTAATCAAACGCTACTGCTACTACATATCTCGAGGTTAATATGGCAAAAGTAGAGGTAGCTCTCGTATGTCGTCAGAGCACAGTTGTATTCCACCGACGGTTAATTGTCGCCGATTGCATCATCGATGCCAAAATTAAAGTTGAGTGTCTATCAAACTCGCGTCACGCAATTGTTTATGTTGGGTAATGATAGGTGCCAGATGCTTACAAATCAGAAGACTGAGGAGCGTAGACCAAAACAATGATGATGCACGTGATGTGTGATTGCACGCGTTCTTCCTCTCCCCTTCTTACTTCAGACAAATCTGGAGACTTGCTTGTTAAGCTTTCCCAGTCGACCTATCAAAACACCAAAACACAATAAAAGTTCCCAGTGGAAGCCCTCTCCCGGATCAAGACAAGGAAGGAGAAGCCAAGTTATCTGACTTTGTCACTATCAGCGGGGGAGTGAATGTGATCTGCACGTACAATTAATCTCTTCAGCCAAATTAAGCAATGCATACCAAATTTCTTGACGCCTGGCCGCCTGCCAGCTGCGTGCCTGTGCAATTGCAGAAAAGATGATGGTGAGCTAGACACGACCCATATGTGGAGGCCTAAAATTTGTTTTTCTTGTAAGAATTTTGAACTTTGTACTAAAGATTGTGTGCTTGAACCGGTGAAGAGGTTGGAAAAATTGTATAAGGAAGAGGATATGTAGCACCTCGGTGCTCCAACCCCCTATATGAACATTAAGTTCAAGAAAAATACCGAGAAAATTTGAAAAAACAAAACTGGGATTTTGGGATATCAAATTTGGGTGTCCGATCTACTTTCGTGTGAAGTTTCTTATGTGTAAAAACCCGGTTTAGATGGATTTTAGTCTGGACAGTATTTCCCTCGCCACATATACGTTTCCTGGTATTTTATTCACGAAACTTCACACGGGAGTAGATTGGAAACCCAGTTTGATATCCTCAAATTTCTTTTTTTTTTAATTTTTTGGGATTTTTTATATTTAATATCCGTATTGGCGTGTGGAGCACCCAGGAGCTCTGGTGTATTTTCTGAATGTATATGTGCTAAAATGAAAGGGCAAATCGTCTCCGCGCAAAAGGAAAATAAGACCAATGCCAAAGTATCAAGAGTTTGAGTTCCCAAGCAGCAACGATGGTTAATATTTCAGTAACATAACAATTTGGACCTTATCATCATTTCATGTTTAAAAAATCTGCATTTTGATCCATCAGTTTCACCTGATTATTCAAAAATATTGATAAATTTGATCTGAAATTAGTTTAAATCTGACTGGAAATTGCAAACTTACAAATATTTCGGCGCCCATCAAAATCTTAGAAGTTTCGTCAAAATTTTGTTTAAATTTTAGCTCTATGCAACGCTAAACACTACAATTGATAACTTGTAACATAAGGAACATGGGAAACTATGCAAATGCGAGGGGTAAAACAGAGATCAATGAACATACCCAGTTTTAATACGAACCTAGGAGATAACAATAAAATTGCACACATACAAGACAAATTTATTAGTTAATCTGCAGGAAAAACACATAACATTGCTGCTCGTACAATCTCACAACACTGAGTAAACTAACACACCAGTACATATATAAACATAAGTAGTAATGTAATGTGGAATAGGAAGCAAAAAAGCTACGAAATGGCAGAGCACTCCACGTCACGCACACAGTGCAGCGAACAGATTAACCAAAGTAATTAAACGGCCAAATCAACCAGCCGCCGGCCGGCGGTACGTCTAGAATCGGTTCATGAGGCCCTTGAACCACTTCTTCACCCCGCCCTCCGCTCCATGGTGGTGGTGGTCGTGGTGGTGCTGGCGGGGGCCGCCATGGCCGAAGCTCCTTCTCATGATCGCCTCGCTCAGCTTCCTAGCCAGTTCTTCCACCTCGTCGACCTCGATGTCAACGTCATGCGCGTGCTGGTGGTGGAAACGTCGGAACAGCTTCATCTTCGGGCCTTCATCCTTGTCCTGCTCGTGGGTGTCCTCTTCCTCCGCGTCCTGGTCGTGGTGGTGGCGAAGATGGTGACGGTGGTGGAAGCGTCCGAACAGGTTCGTGCTCGCGCCTTCATCCTTGTCCTGCTCGTGGTCGTCGTGCTCCTCCCCGTCCTCCTCGTAGTGGTGGCGAAGATGGTGACGGTGGTGGAAGCGGATGCCGTGGCGGAACCTCCTGATCATCTCCACCTTCCACGCCTTGGCTGCGTCTTCCTCCTCCTCGCCATGAAACAGCTTCTCGGCGGCGTCGGTGTCCGGGAGTGAGTCGGGGTCAGGCTCCGCGACCGCCTCCAGCTCGGTCTCTTGGTCTTCCCCGCGGGCAAGCTCGGTGGGCACGACGTCGACGGCGGGATGGACACGAGCCTCGGCCGGGCCGGAGAACGCGCCGCGGTGGTGGGAGAGGCCGTGGTGGCGCGCCCACCAGAGGTGACGGTGGAGGTGGCAGGGGCGGCGGTGGGAGGGGAGCCGGAGCACGTCCTTGTCCACCGCGACGGCCGGGGTGGGCAAAGCCGGAAGGGTCACCTCAGCAGCAGCATCCGCCTGATCATCTTGAGTGAGGAGGACGGGGTTGGGTGGGCCCTGGTCGTCGGGGATGGTCTCAAGGGCGCGGCAGCTGGCGACGGCAAGGAGGGAGAGGAGGAGCACGGCGATGGTGGCGAGACGTGCCATTGTAGCAGGAACCGAAGGTCTCAGCTGGAGTGAGATGGGAGCGGACCGGGGCATTTGTAGTGGAGGTGAATCGCACTGGAGATTTGGTCAATGGTCGATGGCTTAAAATTAAAATTTCAGGGCGTGATATCAAGGCTCACCAAGGTTAGCCCTTAATTAGGCTGGTTGTACCAGAGAGTGTCATATACCAGTATCATGCATATGATATTAGTGTATGATACTACCTCCCTAATGCATATTATCATATATTAGTATCATGTAATACTTTATTTATTGTCATGCATGACACATAGTAGCATAGCATTTATTATGATACAGTATCATGATACGATACTCTCTTTCTTCATTTAAGTCTATGACACATTATTAAAATTGTCTAGTTGGCATACATGATAGTAGCTATGATACTACTATTAGGACCAGCCTTAGCTGTAGGTGTTAGTTAACTTATTCGGTCTTGCTAAGTCTCGGTCAATTAAGACCAGTCGTGATGCTATATCCATGACATCTTAAATTAAGCTCTGTGCAAAATTTTATTTTATGTTTTTTCTCTCTTACTATGCCACTTGACTAGACTCAATGAAGACCTAGCCCTACCTTATTATACTTATTCTATCATATATATACCGGATGACGTTTCCCTCAATAAAAAAATCGGTGACGCTAGGCTACATGTGCATGAATATTTTCTTGCTTCCAAACGATGGAGCTGGATATTTTCCTTAGCTGCATATATAACGAGATGTCGATAGCAAATTAAATTTAAAATTGTACTGCATGATTGCACCCTTCCGTCCGACGAGTCCATTCAAGACACGAACCAGTGTGTGTCGACCGGGTTTAATTGCGTAGGCAGTGACGTCAATCATCTCACCATCTCGAATAAACAAAATGAGGCGAAGATCGAGGCTTACGTTGTGCTGGCAAAAAGATTTAGCAACGCCCTAGCTAAGCAAAGCTTAATTAACTACTACCGGGGTACTAGCCTAACGTGCACCTGGCGTGTGCCATCTTTGCTCCTGAAACTATACGAACCCCGGCCCTTTTCTTTTTATTTGAAAGACATATGAACTTTATTCAACCCACATAACAGATACATAGTTCATGAGGAAAGGTACAATTTTATTCATAGGCTACTCAAACCACTCAAGAATAGAGGAAAATCTAGCCAATCTAGGGAGCTCGTGTGTAACTTTATTTGCTTTTCTATTACAATGTTCAAACCTACAAATAGAAAAATCGCAAGCTAAAAAATACTCCCTTCGTTTTAAAATAGATTATTCAACTTTGTATTAACTTTAGTACAAAGTTGGGTCATCTATTTTGAAACGGAAGAAGTAGCAAACAACAAAAACTGCCGTTGCTACTCCTACTGGCCGTCCGCCGGAATGGTTTCAATGACTTTCAGATTATCAGAATTTATGATGAGGCGATTGCATCCCACCCATTGCGCTAGGGATAGGTCAAATCTAAAAGCCCAATCTTGTGTTGTTAGAGCATCCACACAGTGATCAATTTTCCAGAAACCTTCTGCAATAAAATTGTCTTTATCGTTCCTCAAAACAGCCCCTGCCGTACCCGGCCCTAATCAAGCTGCTTTACATTAATCTACGTGGTTGAATGTGCATCAGGCATCCTATTACATGCTTTGTGCACCGTTTAGTCCAGGAAGGACGCATTGCACCATTCTAGGCCCGTTTCTTCTATTTCTATTTTTTTCAAGTTTTCATTCGTATTTTTCTTTTTTGTTTCCTTTATTTATCAAAAGTAGGTTTTCTCTTCCTTTCTCTCCTTTCTATGTTCAGCTTTTCCCTTTTTGTTTCTATTTATTGGTAACTAATAAACATTTTAAACATAAATTAATTTTTCTGTTTTCTTCTTTTCTGTAAAATATAGAAACAATAATTCAACAAGAAAGTAATTTTAAATTTCTCATCTAATATTAAATGAATTTCTTAAATCACATGAACATTTTTAATACATAATTTTCTAATTACATTTTTAAATTCAACAAACACTGTTTTTAATTCCATGAAACTTTTAAAAAATCAGGTACACGCCTTGAAGATTGTATCGCAGCAAGAAACCATGAGACAATTTTCGCTCATGAATTGCACAAATCAACACAAATGCCATCCACTACACATACCAACCACATATCCTGGTGCACAACGCATGCCAAATCACTCTTCATCTAGAACTGATTCAAATGGCAGACCATATTGCCTTCAATCTGAACGTTCTCCAGATATATATCACTTGACAAACAATCAAAAGCACAGCATGGAACAAACAATAAGAAGTTTCTATGTTGATAAATCTGCAATAGGTAGATCATGAATTCACAACGACAAGAGGCCCCATTCCCCATGACTTAACAACATGAAGCGGGCAACTCGTCTGTCAGAACTTGCATCTGGAGGAACCGCACTTTGAGACCAGTGAAGGTGACACGAAAACCAGAAAGGCAAAAAAGCACTTGCATTGAAACAACAGTTCATATATCAGAAACTGAATCTCGGTTTCAGCAGACATGAAAATACAGCACATAAATGAAATACCAAAGATAACTGAGTCTCCGTGGAAGTGCAACAGCAGCCCTGGCCATTCCAGGTCCACCCAAACAACAAGATAGATTATAGGACAGATTAAGAACAACATAACCATTCATGTTATCATGTACTGCCACAAATAAAAGTTGGTATACCGAATAGAGAAATAACAAAGACCAGAATGCAGATATTAAAATATTCATAATAGTTCCAATATATATAACACTACACAAACACAGGCAGAGTACTGTCATGTACATCACTCAAGCACCAACAGGTACATGCCGTATCTATATATAACGGTCACATATTCATGATTAACAGAGAAGTTGACTGAATAGCTAGCAGCATAATGTTAGGTACATGACTTCAATCAAGCACCAACAGCATATCACAACTTAACCAGATAACTGTTGCTCATATTCAAGATCTAAGTTCACTATCATCATCAGAAAGATGGACAAGTGTGAAGGCTTCAATACACAAACATTTAGTGCCCGTCCGCTAATGACTCCGAGAACAAAGGAACATATGGAACATAAGGGCACCTTGAATTCCGTCCAAGATCACATACGAAACGCGGCTCCCTCGAATCCACTTTGTATGACAATAATTTCATCTGCGGAAAGATCCTCGATGCCGATTCTACAATTATGAATATCACATTGTCTTCTGGGTGGGCTGAGATAACACCATAATGTTCCCCGGCGCTTGAATACTCTACTCCGACCAGTTGCATGTAGCTGACTTTGAGCTTCAATGTCCAACAATTTTCACTAATAGAATCTTCAAGAACCCAGATTGACAGTTCAGAAGAAGCATGATCTGTGAGATACAATTGTCCTCGTGATACATAAACATTAGGAACACCACGAGCATCAGGTGAAGTAGGAGTAGGAATGATCCTATAATTACCCTGCACGTCGATGGCTGCAACTGTATTACTATCAGAACGTAAATACAACACTCCGTTGAAAAATGCGCCACCTGATAAGCGGAGTATATATCTCAATTGAATTGTCCCAAACAATTTGATGCGTCCAACCACCAGCTTTGGAAGAGTATATCCCCACCTCTTCGATGTGATAATCATACTTATTATTCAGATCCAAAGCCACGGCAGTTACCAACTCGAACACATGGAAGTGGGAGGAGACGGCCGGGTCGAATCCCAGGCGAGCATCGTTCACGAACAAGGAATACACGGTGGCGGGCACGGATACCCATCTCTCAGTAGCAGGATTGCACACCACGTACTCCAAAGTACCAGGGTCATCCCACGACTTGGGGGCAGTCCGGCGTCGGCAGAGGAGGAGGCCGTTGCAGCAATCCAAGATGTCGAGCTCCCCGCATTCAGGTAGGAACGAGAGTGAGGCGTCAAGAGGGCACCAGTTCCCCGAGACGCTTTGGTAAACATGAGGAAGCCGTGAATCGCGGCCCATGCCGAAGGTTTTGTAGAAGAAGCCGGCGAGGGTCGACCGGGGAAGCTTCTCGCGGTGATCGGGGTGGGAGATGAGGTCCCGCCAGCGCGTGGAGACGCACTTGCAGCAGCGGGTGGACTTGTAGGGCACACGCGAGATGACCTCGACCAGGAGGTCGTCGGGGAGCTTGATCGTCGGATCGCTCATGAGGGCCGCCTCCATGGATCCCGTCGCCATCTCCGGGGACGCAACGAGCGGCTAATCTGCAGATCGGGGCGGAGGACGAGAGGTTAGAAAGATACTACTTCCTAGCAGTGAGGGGGGAGCGAGGGAAAAGAGGACGTACCAGATCCGTGGCGCGCGGACTGCTTAGGGATAAGCGGCGAGAGCGCCGGCGTTGGGTGCTCCCATCCGCGCCGGCGAGTGGGTCGCGGCGAGCCGGTGAGGGTTTGGTTTGGTGCGGGGCGACGAGATGGATGGATGATGGATGCTGCGGAATTTATTTTTTCTTTTTGCAGTTATCTGGGCTTTTTACTGGGCTGTATACGAGTCCAAAGACTCTCACTGATAGACACGCTCGCCATTTTACACGATCTCAAAAAAGATATAACCTAAGGCCCGTTCGTTTCACGGGAATTCTGCAGGATTTTTACACGCAAGAATTCCTACTGAATGCTTTTCCTTTGAAGTGTTCGCATTGTAGGATAGCAGTACAGTATTCCAAAAGAAATGCTGGCTTCCTGTGTCTATTCCGAAGGAACAAAAAAATCTACTCCAAGCTCATTTGTTGGCGGATGCCCGAGGAAAAGCAGAAGTACCCCAGACAAAATGTTATATCTAAGAAAGAAAGGTTTTTTTTTCGAGAGTACGCCAAAAGTGTACCATATTTTTATAAGGCGAAGTATCAAGTGAAAACGCTGATTCAGTGAAAATCTGGAAACTTGCGACCTGAGCCGTTGGATCTTTAATTGATGGCACAGATGAGAGGTGGGTTTGCTAACCAGCCACTTATGGCTATCTTTCATATAACCCCCTGTCCTACACACGAAGTCTTAGATCTCACCTTATCCATTGTCGCCTCCCCACGCCCCACTGCGAGGACCATGGCGAGGACCATGGCGCTGCTGCCGTCCACCACCGCAACGGCCGACGACGGGGCCTCCCCTACCGCTACGACCTACAGCGGAGACGTTCCCCACCGCGACGACAGACGACGGATCCATCCCTCGCTGCGACGACCTACCGCGCAGCTGTCCTCCCTGGCGGCGCCGCCGGGCAGATGCTACGGAGGTATCCGGCGATAGCCGGCGGGGCTACCAACGGCGCTGATGTAGGAGTCCACCTCGCCAAAGCTCTCATGTGCGAGGAAGGCTCCCGCAAGGCACGCTGCCGACGGGGCAGGCGGTGGAATGTGATGTTGGTCGTTTGAAGCTTGATTCTACAGTGCCTCCTTACAGCAGATTTGTTGTGCGTTCTTGTCATGTAGAGATGAAATTTCTGAATGCAATTTTGATCTTGTGAAGTGTTATCACTCAACGTGAAAGCATTGTTGATTCTCTTTATTTAGACTGAACGGTACTCCAACGATGTAATTTGAGAATTTGTAAAGACAAAATTTTCTGAATACAAGCAAGTGTATGTCGGATGAAAGTTTACACATAATTCAGTCCAAGGGTGTATCTTGGGCGAGCAGGAGTCATAGCAGTGTGCAGCTTAGTCGCGGACAGCACGGCAGCTAATCTGATAAAATGTGAACTGATATACAGAATTTGTCTGAATGCCATATTGATGTACAGAATTTTGTGATGTAATCTGATTGAGTGTGAACTGATATAGTCGGTCTATGTAATCTGTCCATGGATGTTGCTGTCAAATGTTATCACTGACTATCCATATGAACTTTGAGTACTGTTTATACTTAACTAATGGAGTGAATCAGTTCATTTTGCCAATAATTTTTTACAAGAGCTCTTATGGACAGAAGTTCATCTTGCCAATACTTTTGACAAGAAGCATGAATTTTCATGCAATTGGCAGAAATTAAACAAAAGGACAAAAACAAATGAGACGGCAAGATATCATGCCACCTGACTACAACTAGTTACTATCATGCAGCAGACAACAAACTTAGTCGAGTATCCGAAGCAATTAATTGGAGGCAACATAATAGTAGTACAATCAGTACTAAATATTTTAAGTTTCATCACCAATAGTAACATCCAGAATCGATATGCTAAGTACGGCCAGAATCGATATGATAGGTACGGCATTGACTTAATTAACTACAAGGTTGAGGCTACATAACTAGATGATTCTCAGAAGTACAAAATTCAGAGAAGAAAATATTGAGGCTTCGACTTCAATCTTGTACTGCCCAAAATAAAAACATGTGGTTGCCTCGAATCGAAATTAAGGAACCTGCAGATAAACATAAAAAAACAGTCAGAATGAACATACAAATTATGAAATAATATAGCTATTTTGTGTGTATGATAAATTGATAACTGCCTTTATTATTGTTGATTCTTTTGGGGGCAACTACGACTGTCATGGAAGCCAACCTGGTTACATGTCCTGCAGGTGCGAGGCTTTTTCGGTCCTCCCACATTTTTCTTCCCCTCTCCATTCTTATTTCTCTTCCCTTCTCCATCCCCTTTTTAATTTGGGAACTCATCCCATATTTTTTGTTTTTGGAATTTACTCTACTGCTCTCAAGTAGGATTTACAAGTCCAGTTTACATATTCTACTGCCGGCAACTGATGTACATGCTACAGTACACTGACGAAGATGCAAACAAGAAAGACCAAACCAGATACTTCAAAAGTACAACTGAAGAAAGACAACTGTGACATTCAGGTTAACATGATTCAGGTAGTGCTTGTTCTACCATCAGGTGGAGGGATATGAGGATGTTGTGGCAATAAGACCGAACCCATATTAGTACAATCAGTAACCGAAGCAGCTGTTGCTTACCTGTGCAGGGCTAAGACGAGGTTGAGGCATGGCACAGTAGGAGGAGGAGCGACGTCCTGGAGAGGCGGCACCGATGCGTCGACAGGGAACATGGCCGGCGGAGGGAGATAGTTCACGGCCAACGGAGGGCCCCTCGTGGCCGGCGGAGGACGCATCGTGGCTGGCGTGGGGCTCTTCGTGGCCGGCGGAGGGAGTAGTTCACGGTCGACGGAGGGCCCGTCGTGGCCGGCGTAGGGCAAGTCTCCATTTCGCCGACGAGACTGAAAGACAAATCGATTATAGTCGAAACGTAAGGACTTGGTGCGTAAATGAAGGGATTATTTGCTAATTAGTGTTTAAGTGGCTGGTGGGATACGACCTAAGATCTATGCCGCTCTTTATTGATCTGATGACTCACGAGGTGAGTTTCCAGATTTTCACTGAATCAGCGTTTTCACTTGATACTTCGCCTTTTTATAAAAGAAGAGGAAGGCATAGTTATAAGAAGTGTGGCCCAAGTGCGAACATATGGCCCACACGGGAACACCAACACCAACACCACCCAGCTACGTCTATGCTAACTCCTCATAAACCGTTGTAATCCACCAGCACCACCTACCGCCTACGACCACTCAGCAATCTCATTTAGCGTGCTATTGACAAGCTCGAGCGGGGTTTTTTGCTGATCTATCCTACTGAACACTCTCGCGTTCCTCTGTTTCCACAAAGCCCAAAGAACCGCCGTGACTGTGGTATCGAAACCACGCTTGTCCGCCCCTTGGAAGCCTCCTCGAACTCGTAGCCACCACTCCAGGGTATTGTCATTAGGTAGAGCTTGAAGAGTGTTGATCTGCAAGATGTCCCATGTCCAGTACCAGACCTCCCTAGCATATGGGCACTGTAGGAGAATATGGTTAGCATTATCCTCATCTTGTAGGCACGTGTAGCAGGCTGAACTCTCCTCCTGAAGCCCATGCCTGGCTCTCCTATCCGATGTCCATATCCTGTACTGCATTGCAAGCCAAACAAATATTTTGCACTTGAGGGGGGCCCAGCTTCTCCAAACACACTTGGCCAAAGGTGATTTAGGCCATCCACTGCAAAGGCTGGAATAGATTGACTTGGCAGTGTATTGACTAGTAGATGAGCAAGTCCATGTGAATACATCCTGCTCGGTCTCACGTCTGTCGACTGTCGCCACCGCATGACAAAGGTGCATGCATTGCATTTGCGCCATGAAAGAGATCTCGATTTGGCAGTCCTCCGTCCATTTGTTGTTGAGCAGAGCCTACTGCACCATTCTAGTATTGATCACCCTCGCATGGACCGTTGTAAGCAGGATTGGAGCAATGTCAGCTACTGAAAACCCATGTATCCACCGATCCCTCCAAAACAGGACCCTCTCGCCTGTTCCCACTTGAATATGAACCAAGCTGTCAAACACCTCCCTCGCCAATCTGTCTTCCATCATTGGTAGTCCCTGCCAGGGCCTCGCAGGCTCCGTACGCTTTAGCCATTCCCACCTGACCCTTAGCGCTAAAGATTGCATTTGCAGGTTCTTCACTCCAAGCCCACCATGGCACTTAGGGCGACAGATTTTATCCCATGCGACCAGGCATTGTCCACCATTGACCTTGTCCTTGCCAGCCCAAAAGAAAGATCTCATCTACTTATTGATCTCCTCAAATACCCAGACCGGGGCGTCCACAATCATTAAAT